CTTCTTGACAGGCGGCAGCAGGCTCCTCGTCATCTGGCGGGCGTGCTGGGCCATGAGGGCGTCCATGATGACAATGGCGGCCATGCCCTCGACGATGGGGATGGCGCGGGGCACGACGCAGGGATCGTTCCGCCCCTTGGCGGCGAGGACGCCACCCTCCTCGCCGTCGTAGGTGGCCGTCGTCTGGTCCTGGCCAATGGTGGCGGCGGGCTTGAAGGCGACGCGGAAGTAGATGGGGGCGCCGTTGGAGATGCCCGCCCTGGATACCGCCGCTAAAGTTGGTCTTGGTCGTGAGCTTAGAGCGCGGGATGCCGAGGCGGGCCGTCTCGGCGGCAGCGCGGGCGTCGTCCTCAGGGGCGCGGATAAAGGCGTCGTTGTGCGTCGAGCCGGGGACCTCGCAGCCGGCAAAGCCCGAGCCGATCTCGAAGCCCTTGGTTGCCGGGATGCTGAGCATGGCGTGGGCGAGCAGGGCCTCGAGCTTGTCGAAGCAAGGCTCGCCGAGGCCGGCGGGCGGGTTCTTGATGACGCAGGTGACGGTGCCGCCGATCGAGTCATCACGGTCGCGGAAGCCGGCAATGTAGTCGTTCATGGCCTCGGACGTCTCGGTGTGCGGGCAGCGCACGGGAAGGAACTTGTCGACGGTGGCGCGGTCGATGGTCTGCAGCAGCGAGAGGAAGGCGGGGTTCGTCGAGGGCGAGGGGTGCTCAGGGGTCGGCGGGAAGAGGTGGACGTTGCCGACGCTCGTCGTGAAGGCCGTGATCTCGGTGCCGGTAGGCCTCGCGCAGGTACTTTTCGGCAACGGCGCCAGCGGCGACGCGGGCAATGGTCTCGCGCGCCGAGGAGCGGCGCTCAGAGAAGCCTTGATGCCGTACTTGTGAGGTAGGTCCAGTCGGCGTGCGAGGGACGCGGGAAACGGTCCATCGTCTTGTTGCCGTAATCCTTGGGCCGCTGGTCCTCGTTGGGCACGAGCATGCCAAGCGGTGTGCCCAGGGTGTAGCCAAACTCGGTGCCGGACTGGATGGTGACGCGGTCCTTCTCATTGCGGGGTGTTGTGATGGCAGACTGGCCGGGACGGCGACGTGTAAGCTGGGGCTGAATGTCGGACTCGTCGAGGGCGAGACCAGGGGGCACACCATCGACGATGACGCCGACGGATTTGCCGTGGGACTCGCCGTAGCTGGGAAATCATTGTCAGCTCTTGTGTTTGGCGGAGGCGGAAGTGGCTATGTAAAATATGTCCAGTCTGTCAATTGACTCACGTGGTGACCTTGAAGTAGGTTCCGAACGTCGACATGATGACTCTGATGTCTGCTGGTGTGTGGTGAGGGAGATGAAGAGAAAGGATAGGGGAGAAGAAGAAGAAGAAGAAACGGAGGTAGAGGTTCCAGGTGTCGTGACTCAACGAAGATTCAGCAATGGCAACAGCAACTGAGCAGGGGGGTGCGCTTTCCTTTGGGGGTGCCGCCGAGCCGATCGCGGCGGGGGAGGGGTCCGCCCCTGTACAGCGGTGGGCCCGGTAGTTGTGTTCTGATACACGATTCGTGGGTCTGTGCTTAAACGCATACACGCATCGGGTCGATGTCCAGGGGTCCAACCTTCACGGACATCCCATCATCATTCTCGCGATCTGGGTCGACTTTTCTCATCGTGTCGGAACACCAGCACAGTTCCCTCGCCAATGTCTGTCAATAGACCGTCACACCTCATACATCCTGCAATCGACGAAGCTGACAGCCGCCCAGATCCCCCGATCATCATGAGACGCCACAACACACCATGACAATGCTCTCCTCAACACCAGCCTTCACCATGAGGCTCATCTCCCGTCGGCCCCTGAGAGCACGGTCTCTCTTCCACTCATCCAGGCCATTCTCCGCCTCGCCGTCTCCCAGGCGACCCTCGCCCCTCGCCTCTGCCGCAACCGCCAGAACCCAAGTCTACATCTCCCGCTCGTCGGACCCCCTCCTCAACCTGTCCATAGAGCACCACCTCCTCCAGACGACCCCCTCCGAGTCCACCGTGCTCTTCCTGTACACGAATCGCCCCAGCGTCGTCATAGGCCGCAACCAGAACCCCTGGCTCGAGCTCAACCTGCCCCTGCTGCACGCCTACGTCCCCCGCCCCGCAACCCAAGGCCGAGGAGACGACGGCAAGGACGGTCACACCGCCGGTGTCACCCTCGTGAGACGACGCTCCGGCGGCGGCAGCGTCTTCCATGATGCCGGCAACGTCAACTTTAGTGTCATCTGCCCGCCTGCCGCCTTCGACCGCGACCGCCACGCCGAGATGGTCGTGCGCGCCCTCCGTGGTCTCGGCGTTCCCGGCGCCCGCGTCAACTGCCGCCACGACATTGTCGTAGACGTCGGCGCCGACGCTGACGCTGGCAAGGCTGGTGTCAGGGCACCGCCGCAGGCCTCGTCGGCCCCGGCGCCCGAGACCTGCGCCGCCAACAAGGGGCCCGAGGACGGCAAGGCGACGTTCAAGGTGTCTGGGTCGGCGTACAAACTAACGAGGTTGCGGTCGCTGCATCACGGCACGTGTCTGCTGTCGTCGCCGAACCTCGGTTCCATCGGGCAGATGCTGCGGTCGCCCGCCGAGCCCTTCATCAAGGGCCGCGGCGTCGAGAGTGTGCGCTCGCCGGTGCGCAACGTCGGCGTCGGCAACGAGGAGTTTGAGGGCGCCGTTGTCCGCGAGTTTGGCGCCATGTATGGTGCCTTTGACGTCATTGCTGAGGTGGATGAGGACGCCGCTGAGTTGGAGAGCGTGCGAAAGGGCATGAAGGAGCTGCAGGTGAGCTTTGGCACCACCCGCCAGGGCTGCAACGTGTGAACCCCCGTCCCTCGTAGACTGCTAATCGTCCCGTCGCAACATTAGTCGAGAGACTGGCTCTACGGACAGACGCCACTCTTTTCCTTCTCGACTCGGCCTACGGAGGACGACCCGAGGCCGAGGCCAACGCTGCCTGACGATGTGAGTAGCTACTTTCCCTCGCATGACCCTTGCGAGAAAGACCGCCGTTCTCTCAAACACGGCTGACAGCGACAGTTCAACCTGAGCTTCGAGGCTCGCCAGGGCGTGCTACAGAGCTTCGTCCTCGGCAGCACGTCGCCTGCGGGCGAAAAGTGGTCAGTCGCATCGCTTACCGATGCCAAAATACACGACGTCAACGACTGGGTGGAGCGCCTTCGCGGAGGCGGCGTCAACAGCGATCGGGCCTCGGCGATCGGCTCCTGGCTCAACGGCCTTTTAGGCGCCGGTGGCGGTCGGTGAACCTGTTCGCGAGGTGTATGCGTGCGCCGTGACACATACACACATATTCTTGTACTGCTACTTGTATGATATCGCTAGCATGCCCAGTGTTGGAAAGAATCAGGCCATCATCGTGGCAATGACACCGGCACCATGTTCTGAGACAAAGAAAAAGCACGACGCGCAATTTGTTCACATCAGTAGGGTCTGTTACCCGTCACGAGCTTGCATCTGAGGAGCGCCCCAGTTGGATCCATCGATCATCTGCCGCATATAGTCGTAACGGAGCTTGCGAGGCGACCATCATGATATCGTCATCGTTCGCACGCAACATCTTCTCCGTGCCTGAGCCCCCCCCCCCCCCCCCCGGAGGAGGGCCGCCTCATCAGCATATTGTCAATAAAGGGGGATCACGCACTTGGTTGTCAGGAGGTTCTCACAAGCCGCCTCCCCGCGCGATCCGCAAACCTCGGTCAACACCCGTTCCGTATGTATCATTGGACCCTGGCACGCGAGAAAGCTGCAAAGGTAGTGAGACACTCTTGGCTAGTGCCGAAGCGGGGCCCGAGTGGCCACCCAGCCGGGCGAGCAGTTGTGAGTGGTGCACTGCCCGCGGATGTCCCAAGAGAACCGGGATTTTTGTATTAAGGGGGATGGCTCGTTTCTTCTTTGGCAGAACAGGCGACATGGCCAAGTGAATAGAGTCCCTGTACCAAGTGTGTTGCCGCTGCGCTCATGGGTTCAGCCCAGAGTGAGACATGAATGCCCACCACCAACAAGTCGGGGTGCGGCTGCGCCACTACGTGTGCGGCGTCATCGACAGATTACTCCCTCACACATCCTTCGCCGAATGCATCCAAGGCTGGCTGGCTGAAGATTGCTCACGACACCCACCTTGAGAGACCTGGAGCGCAAGATGGAGTGACTGGCTGCCAATATTACGAGCGCGCGGCGTCGCAAGAAGGTGTGGCTGCCGTCTTTTCTCCTTTGCACAAGACCAGTTCTGGCCGTCATGTCTTGCATCTAGGCCTGAAACGGGCGTTGTGAGTATTGCAGGCGGCGGATCCGGTGAGGGTGCGTTCGTATTGGGATCACAAACCTGGCCATCTTACTTCCATCATGACGCCTATGCAGCCCTCGTCTCGTGGAATAAACGTCGAGAGAGTATATCCTTTGTGGTTGAAAATGGCAAATGACGCGCAGCAGCATATTGTCAGCCTCCTAGATCGATGCAAGGCTAATCACCACATCTCGGAGCGCAGGCAGTGGTCGCCAGGATGAGCCTTGGAGGTGAGAACCACTCAGAGGCCGCACGGGTGTCCTGCTTGGCCCATGTTCGCCCTCCACAGGAAGTTGAGAGCAGGGTAGCATCGGACTCGCTGCATCACATCGCCGTTCCTCCTTCGACAGTCGACGCCTTGCCAATCACAAGGCGGACCATGGTCCGACCGGCGTAACCAAATCGGCACCATCCCTCTTTGTTGATGGCTGCAACTTGGGCGAATCGATGTTGGTCGTGGCCCCTCCACATTGTCCCATTTCCCCCTTGCGCGTGTCGATCGCATACACAGGTTGCTTCTTTCTTTCCTGGCATAGCGCACCACCACGCGGAGCCAGGCTACAGGTAGAGACGGGACGTCCTTCGATTCGATGTATTGCATGCATGGTAGCTGTGCAAGCCGATCGAGCCACCGCAGTGTTTTCTTTTCTATTCTTCTTGTTCGTTGGGCTGCGGCCGTACAATTCAAGGCTGGCATGCCGACGCATAACTGGTGCGTTACCAGTCAACTCGTGTGCCACATCCTTCCAGCTCAGCCAGGGCGGTGTGGCATACCAAGAGCGCGCTACAAAAGCAAAACAGACTCAGGCTGAGGGCCATGGCTTACAAATGACCTGCTGAAGCATCGCTCACCGGCTTCAACGAGGGCGCGCAATGGGCCAAGGACCCGTCAGCCACCAACAATCCAGTGGTGACGGTTAGAAACGTGATAAGCACATGCCGACAAATGTGAAGAAAGTCTAAAAGAGTGACGAGACAAGTCCACGGAGGTTGTACCCGCCGGAATGTGAGCAGTCACATCGCGGTGGTGCAGCAGAGCCCGTCTAAGGCAATATCACGCGGGGCTGGCTTGCGACGAGGTTCTGATCCCTGTCATCCCCTATTCCTCATGTAGTCCTTTCTTTGAGAAGAAGACCAAGTACATGGACTTGGCGAACTGAGGGACAGGAAGTTCTTCGTCTAGCTCTTTCTTCCCCGATTTAGCTCTCGTTTCCCCGTGGAGGGCTCTCCTATGACAGCTGAGCTACATTCGCCGAAACGCATGGCGGGCGGGCGGTTACTAGCTCCCGTTCAAGTTGTGAATACCATCGGTATGAAGACAGAGGCGACCGAACTGCTGGAATGTGACGCGAGTGGGATTTGTGAATTGGCTAAACTTCGCACACACATTGGGCGGGAAAGATAGACTTCCCCACGAAACCAGAGCGCAAATGTTGCACCCTAATCACCGGGCACAAGAGAAGCCGACGATCTTGGATAGGAGCCATTAAGGCGCGTGGATTGATGCAAATCGAAGCCATTCCACATGTCTTGTCGCGGCGAGCTCAAGAAACTGTGTGGGGGAAAAGGCGAAGAACACAGCAACCTTCATTCTTTGCCGTACCGTGCCATGTTGTGCCATGTCACGACAAGTGCGTTTTGCACAGGGCGGTCATTCCCTCTTTGGGACGAAATGCGAAGCCATCGTGAGTCTGCGGAAGAGGGGGCCAACTCACGATAGTGGCCCCTGCTGCTTTTGTGATCCACGACCGGGCCAGACCCGGCCATGGCGCACAGGCAGGATATGACAGGTCTAGACTGTCACGTCCCCTTCGCCTTTGACAGTGCAAACGAAGAACATCGTGAGCTCGCCCCGGCAGCTGTTCTCGCAAGCATCGCTGGTGCGTACCGCCCGCGGCGATTCCGGTGCTGCCACGCATGTCTGATGTTGTTAGTCTTTGATATGCAGGCGCTTGCTTCCATACACCATCGGACCATTGCTTGCCGATGTAGGGCGCGAGTCCTCTGTCTGCCTCCTGACAAGTCATTCCTGTAGGTCCCCTGTAGCGTTTCAAGAATCCAGTGGTCATTGAAGCATTGCATGTTTTGGCATAGACATCAAGCATGAAGATGAGATGCAACTGGCACTGCAACCATATAGATCATAGCCGACAAGCAGTGGTCTGTGAAAACCCGGCAGTGGACTTTTGTCTCCGCTGGTTGAGAGTCCAGGAAAACGTAAGGGAAATCAAGGGTATAACAGAGGGCACAGACCGGGGTACCTGGTCACGAACCATGGGCCGCGCTGCCGCTATCAGAACGCTAAAACACCTCGGCGTCGATAGGCAAGGGTGCGGCGGCCTTGATCGACACGACGACTCAGGGGGCGGAGGGGGGGGCGGAGGGGGGGGGGTTCAGCACCGTGTGCTTTGTGATCTTGGCCAACCTACGAACTCAGGCAAAAGCGCTCTCTGGGGGTCGATAGACTCGGTACGCTTGACCCTTGTGTTGGTTGGGTGAAGGAAGGTGACTTACGCTCATGGTGGTCGTGTCGTCAATCTCTGTGACGCGCCGGTCTAGCATTAGAGGCGGCAATGGCGTCGGAAACTTGTTCGAAAGTTGCTCTGTCGTTAGTAGTCGTGGCAGGTCATACAAGGTGAAGTACATGGTACTGCCTGCACCTGCTGCATGTTCCTTGCCTTGCCCTGCTCTGTTGCCGGGTGATGGAGGGGCACTTATGGGGCAGACGACGGTAGAGCACGATGCGGACTTGACGATCCCAACCAACCTCCAGGCCAAGGTTCATTGCGAACCTGTTCCCCTGGTCTTGGAGAACATGCGGCCGAATTGTGAAGAAGACGAGGTGGCAGTGGCAGGAGCAGCAGCATGCAGCAACACGGAGACACATAAACATGATTAGGCACACACTGCCCGAGGTTGTGACGAGAGGATGGTCCATACGACGATGCAGGTCGATCCTGGGCTTCAGAGTGGATAGGCAGGCATCGGCAGACGGGCAAAGGGGCCGATCAACCTGCTTTGGTCGCTGCAGGCTTCAGCTATCATGCCGAGATTAGTGTCGCAAGAGCTTTTAACCTCAGATGGAATCACAATGCTGTTTTGCCAGAAGGGTGTGGACGGCTGACCTGCAGACGACCTGATCAAGAGAAAAACGCGTGAAAAAGAGGCCGCATCGTCGTGACATGATCTGACCTCGCTCGATCGAATTGGGGGTGCGGCGCCCCTATCTCGGGCTCTCTCTCCCTGCTGCTCGGGCTAATAGGTGCTGCAGGACAAAGCCTGGCTTGGGCTACTGGGAATCGGATAGGTTGGGCGTGGCACCCAGGGTGCGGATGGGTTGGCGTCCATATGGTCCAATGAGGGGAGGCTGTGTTCCCGCCGCACGCGATGCAGAAGCAGCTTGGTAACCTAGGACGACGATGTCCATTGAACGTTATTTCTGGCCATGGGCTTGTACTCGCAGGGCAGCTCGGCAAAGGCAGTGAGCATGGACAAGTATAGGCGAGCTCAGCAGTACGGCGCTGGCGAACGGGATGTAAGGAGGAGTTCGGCTTGGTACGACGACACGGGTGACTGGTGACGGGGGACGGGCGATGGGCGACGGAAGGCGAGCGAGCAGGTGCTTTTGCCCAAAGGAAGCTTGGCTGCTGTTTGTCAATTGATGGGATCGACAGGACCTTAGTTTTGCTTTGTTTTGCTTTGTTGGGCATGACTGTTAAAGAGCCATGTTGGGGGTTTTTTTTCGGTTGCTGCTGGTGGCGGCCGATGCTGCCGATGTCGGGCGCTGGTCTCGTCTGTCTTTTGCTCGCTATTCTGCTCGCTAAACGAATGCACGCTCGCCAAGCCAGGTTTCCAACAAGAATCAAGCCAAGGCCTGATCGACAGATTGATATCAGGACCCGAGCCTTGTTCGTTGACGCCTGGCATGATGATTGATGAGGTGACACACGCGACAAGGGGGGGGTTTCCAACCTGGCCGCGGAGATGGCGGGAGTTTAAAGATCGCGAAGACTTGATGGTCCAAGGGTTGGTTAGTGGTGGACTGACAATACTGGACACTCGAGTCTCACCAGAAATGTCACGGCGAGACGAGACGACGGCGGGCGGAGGAGCGTGAGGCTTGACCTAACGCGGAAAAGCAGCGTCAGAAAGAGGAAAGCAGCGATGTCCGGCTGAGGAGACCCGTAGATTGTGGCAGTCACAACCCCCTCAGCCAATGAAAGAGGAGAGACACATGGTCCTGGCACGATAAGGCCTCAAGGGGCCCCTGCCTGTACTGTAGGTACATGGACCGAGTGTCCACCCAGTCAGCGCCTCCCTGGTCTCTCTCTGCAGGAGCGACCCAGACGGGCTCCGCCTGTGAGCCCACCACTACGTCAACCACATTGAGTGAAGCTGCTCAGTGTACACTTGGCATTGGGCGATGCCAAGGCCACTGGCTCACGGCAGGACCAGTGTGGTTAGAACAGCGCACTGTCCTTCAACTGGCCCCAGAGATTATGAGCAGTCACATTCTGGGGAATACCATGCGCAGTTGCAGGCGCAAGGTGCAGGCAGGACGACCGAGCGCGCCTCCTCCCCCCCCCGTCCACTCCAGGTCGCTCGAGGTAGGTGTCGCATCCTCCCGCTCATAGCGCGATGTGATGCCCCTCCAATGCAACCTCAGATGATGTAAGATGAGTCGTTGCCAGTGGCAATGGCAAGCTTGGTAGAAGGGGTGCGACGAGAGTTGGGATGCGGAGGCAGGAGAAGACGAAGACAGAAGAGGAGGAAGAAGAAGATGACGAGACGTTGGTAGGTACAGAGACATGTGGCATGGATGACTGAGATTGTATCCTCCTTCTTCGCCTCTTGCCTCTTGCCTCTTCCGCTGTTCTGCCTGCTTCTCTGCGAATGGCGTTTGGCGCACAGGACTTTGTCTCTCATATCCAACCTACCTATCTACTTATCTACCTGTCTAACTCACTGCGTCCTGGTACCTCCGCATCCACAGGAGAAGGCCCATATAGTGCGGATGAAGACTACGGGAGTGCTCAACACGGCCTACTTTGATTCACTCCTCCTCAAAGTCTCCAGCCTCCATACCGCACCCACTCCACCACCAAGGAGCAGCCGCAGCTACCCAGAGGCTACTGATGCATGTACTGCATTAGCACGGTGCCAGACTCCATTCGTGCCTGTGCCAGCCCGATACGTACCGGCTTGGTCCCCACCCGTCTTTGCCCGCTAGGCCGCAGCGTGCACCTGCAGAGTGCAGCGCTGCCAGCCCACCCGCCCACCAGCCCACCAAGCCCAGCCCAGCCCACCTTCTGGTTCAGCATTTGTCTTTCCTGAGCCTGGCCAGCCTGGCTAACCTGACCCTCCTTCTCTCTCTCGCTCTCTCTCTCACACACTTAGAAGCACCTACCCCACTGCACCTCCCTCGTCGTCCTTCAACACTTTGACTCGACCTGCCCCAGCACTCAGCACTTCGCAGCTCCTCCGGTGACACCAATCTGCGGAACCCAATTTTCTCCCATCTACAAACCACCATCGTCGCTCTCACGCGAGTGTCCCTCTCTACCACGACTCTTCAACCCTCCCCTTCGCTTCGCCCCTCTTCCTTTTTTTCTTTCTCCGACAAAAAACTTGGACTTCGACTCGATTCCAGTACGGCTCGCGACCATGGCTGCCTGAACAAACCGCCCGACTGCCGCCTTTCGCTTCTCCGGCCGCCGCGCGCGCCGCCCTTTGCCGTGCTTCCCCGCGTCACAACCATACATGATGTCGAATCGTCACTCACTCCTCTACACTCTCCAGTCCAACACTGCATCATGGAATCGAATTCCTCTCAGCAGCAGCAGCAGCCGCCGCCGCCCCACCAGCCTCAACCCTCCCGCCACCTTCATCTCGCCCACCTTCACGCCCTGATCCCCCCTCCTTCCACATCTCCAACGCCCCCTCTGCGAACGGCAGCGAGCACCCCCATGAGTTCGCCAGGCCTCTTCAGCCCCTCGAATCCTCGCCCGAGGCACAACTACCCTGGTCATGCCGCCTCCGACTCGAACACTCCCGTTCAAGAGGTTTCCAGTCCTTACCTCCATCCGCTTCAGCACCACAAAGTTAGAGAGTACGTGTAGATGGACACTCAGCCGCCGAAATCTTCTCTTTTTCGTCTCGACCTTGCATTGTTGCTAACACACGTCGCAGGACGCACAAGGCCCTGATCGATTCAGACAGCATCACAGGCCGGAAACTCATCAACCAGTATGAGGTCATCGAAGAAATCGGCCGAGGCATGCACGGCAAGGTCAAGCTAGCCAGGAACCTCGAGACGGGCGACAATGTGGCCATCAAGATCATTCCCCGCTACTCCAAGCGCCGACGCCTGGGCAAGGTTGCTGCCATGTCCCCCCAGGACAAGACGATGCGAGAGATTGCCATTCTGAAGAAGATGCGCCATCCAAACGTCGTTTCCCTCCTCGAAATCATTGACGACCCCGAGCTGAAGAAGATTTACCTCATCCTCGAACACGTCGAGCTCGGCGAGGTTGTCTGGCGCAAGAAGGGCCTGCCACACATTTGCATGCATGAACGCCGCCGAATCGAGCGTGAGATGCGCGGTGAAGCCCCGACTCCTGAGGAGGAACAATATGACCTCTTCCTTGAGAGGCGTCAGGCCATCAAGGACCTCAAGAGGGCCAAGATGTCGCAGGCGAACGCAGGCCCGCACGACTACTGGAGCATCGAACACGGTATTGCCGATGACGGCAGCAACGCCTCTCAGTCCCGCGTCCCGTCCAATGACGATCTTGCCCTCTTCGATAGACTGCCCGGCGATGTATCTCTTCCCAGCTCGCTACGTGCTTCTCGCGCCACATCCCGCGCCCCTTCCAGGACGCAGTCTGTCAAGTCGATGAACCAACCTCCCCCGGACCTGTCGGCCTCACCCGACGGCAGCGATATGGAGACCCCCGGCCCCCTCCATTCGAGCAACCAAGGCTCCTCTGCGGCCCTGGACGGCACCATGTATGGGGCCTACATCGAGGAGCGGGCTTTCCGTGGCCGCTCCCCCAGCATGGCGGATTCCATCATCTCCCACATGTCGTCCATCGACTGGAACCCCCGCACCCACGACCCCTTCGCTGACGACTTTTCTTACGTTCCTTGCTTCACTCTCGAGCAAGCAAGGTCTGTATTCCGAGACACCGTACTTGGCTTAGAGTACCTGCACTACCAGGGTGTTGTGCATAGAGACATTAAGCCGGCCAATCTGTTGTGGACAAAGGATCACCGTGTCAAGATTTCCGACTTTGGTGTCTCGTACTTTGGCCGCCCCATTCGAGATGGTGAGCCTGACGACGAGGCCGTGTCCGAGTCGGAGGCCCAAGACTTTGATGACGATCTTGAACTGGCCAAGACCGTGGGCACACCTGCCTTCTTCGCGCCCGAGCTCTGTTACACAGACGCGGACCGCGTTGAGCAGCCGAGGATCTCTGAACAGATTGATATCTGGTCCCTTGGCGTCACCTTGTACTGCCTTGTTTTCGCACGCATCCCCTTCCAAGCAGAAGATGAGTGGGCCATGTTCAAGAAGATTGCTACCGAGGACGTCTTCATCCCTCGCCAGCGCCTGCGGCCTGTAGACCCGTCTACCAGCCCCGACGAGAACTCGTTATACAAGCGCCAGAATAAGAAACCCTATCGGGACGACAACGAGCTTGTTTACGAAGAGATTGACAATCTACTCTACGACCTCTTGAGGCTCATGTTCACCAAGAGCCCAGACAAGCGCGTCAGGCTGCGTGACATTAAGCGCCATCCTTGGGTTGTCCAGGGAATATCGAACCCGATTGCCTGGATCGATGAAACAGACCCGGCACGCCCATCACAGGGTCGGAGGGTGCAAGTTGACGCCAAAGAAACCGCGCATGCCGTCGTCCCAATCACCTTCCTCGAGCGGGCCCGCTCGGTCGTCAAGAAGGCCGTCGGCAAGGTCATGCATCCCCTGGTCAGCGAGCGCGGTGATAGCAGATCACGCAAACGGGCAACCAGCAGTGTGGCTAGCTCTGCCGGTGAAAGCAACGTTGCCCATGCTGCCGTGCCCATCACCAACCCGCGGGATCTGCGGCGGAAAAGTCTCAAGAGCGATGACTACTTCGCCGGTATCTACTCTGCTACGCCAGATCACCCTCTGTCGCAAAGTGTAGATGACAGTCCCTCTGACTCGGCGTACGATCCTCTTGCCACTGCCATCGCGCAGCCTTCGCAGAGCGCATCGTCAAGTCAGAAGGGAAGGAGCGTTCGGGATGCTAGCAACGAAGAATGGCCCGCTTCGTATGACTCGAAGAAGAGTGGTGCTTCAGTCTACAGGCCAGCGAACAAGCAACTCCACACCAGCATCGGCAACAGCTTCCTGGCTTTGACAGCTGCCTTGGCCGGTCCTCAGACTGTCCCTTCATCGCCCGCGGCTGCCATGTACGAACCTAAGAAACAGCGCTACGTTGATCAACATGGCCTGGACGATGCCTCTCGGTCTCACTCGGTCGATCGCAGCCTCTTTGCAAGCGCTGACAAGCGAGCTGCACCTCAGGTCGGGATCAGCAATGCAATGGCACCCGGCACTGTCCACCGGACACCGAGTCGACCCCGACCTGTACGCTCGGTCGATCTGGGCAAAGCCGTGAGGGAGAACAACCCATCACTCGCATCGCCATTATTCTTTTCATCACAAGCCATTACTGGATATCAGCATGGTCAACCTCACTCTGATTCGAATATACTCGACGGTCGAAAGGGTCCCGCCTTGTTCGATGAACGACCAGCAACGGCACACCGCACGGATCGCCCACAGGACGTGCCTGACGCACAGACGCCGCCGCCTCGGTCATACAACACCTCGACACCCGAATCTTTTGCCAGGGCTAAGGAGGGTCTCATCAAAAAGCAGGTGGACGAATACCAGCGTAACCTGACTGATCAATTGTTGGACGCCAGAGAGACGCCCGTCTTTGATCCCGCCGACATTCCTTGTCCGCCATCGCCCGATGACGAGAACCCCCCGCCAGTGTCCAGGGGTAGCACCATGGAAACGTGCAAGTCGTCGAGATCTACGTCAATGGCTGGTCTGACGACACCGCTCACCAGTCCTAGCGAAGTTGCCAGCCCCATGTCGTCGAGCGCATGCCCATCAAAGGAGCAGATGCTTGTCTTCCACTCAGACCCGTCATTGCCCGCTCTTCTGAGCGGTGCGAGCTCTGTGTCGGCTGATCAAGAGTCTGAACCTGTTGACTCGAAAGCCCTGAGCGGTCGCCCCGACATTTTAGAGACGACCGATTCTCTGACGCCGCCTGCTTTCGCCAAGGAACCTGTTGCCGGGTTCCCTATTGAACACCTTGAGCAACAGTCTTTCGATAGTGGTGTCATCGCGGTTCAGCTTGATGTGCCGAGCCCGCTTCGGAGCTTTGCCTCAACGCCGGAGATGCGACCTGCCGACGATGATGACGATGATAGCGACAGTGATGGCATTTTCATGTTCAACGCGAAAAAGAAGAAGGCCCCCACTACCAGCATCAGCAAACCTCATTTTGAACCACGCCGGAGGGATACAAACGCTAGTATAGCCAGCACCGAGACAGCCAAAAGATACGCCGTCAATGACACGTCATCTCAACCCGAGTGAACGCACAAACCAACCGAGCATTTTCAAACCACACCGAACCTCCCCACATTTCTCTACCTATTCTCTACTATCAACCAACATGCCAAACAAGCCGGCATGGAAACGCCTCTGTTTGCGCCACCATTGCGTTCAGACGCGGAGAGGGCATCTGCATTTTGGTAGACGGCCGTCTCACTTGACCTCATCGCATCAGACAGCATGCAATCATATTGCAACCGCAGGCACCTCGAGAGAAGAGCCGCGGAGATTTCTAATCAAGGAGGAGGCAGACTGTTTGAAAACATGTAGAACTGGCGCGGACATTTTCCTTTTCAAGCCGTGCTTCGTTCACGCCCTGCCAAAGGGCACCACCAGATTGGGAAGGTCATTTTGCCTCAAGAAATCTGTTTGGATCACCGGACCCCTCTTCCAAGAAGGGCCAACGGGACAGCAACGCAGGACGGAGCCTGCGAGAGAACCAACCACTCATCTCTCTACTTTCCTCTTCTTCTTTTTTCTTCTTCTTTCTTCTATTTTATTCCTCGGGCGTCTCCTTCATTGCGACAGATTGTCAGTGGGAGCGGACGGTGCAACGGATGGGGATGGGCAATTTGTGACGATTATACGCAGGATGATGGAATGAAGCCGGGCCGGGCCCCAGGCGCCCCTGATGGGGTTGCGTACATGCTGCCTTGGGGAGCTGGGCAACGGCTGGACGGAGAGGGATGGACTTACATGACTTGAGAGGAACGGGATGCCGAGCAGGGCGGAGAGGGCAGGTTGTTTGTTGTGCGGTTATCTTGCATTGCATATATCCCATCTTTGGCGGCCCAAGGGGGCTGCCAACTGTAATGAAGGAGGGAAACTCTCAGCGGGGTCTACGATACCAGATGGATGAGCGGGATGGGATTGGGATGTGACGGATTTGCGAGACTGGCGTCTCTGATTAGCGTAGTCGTATCAACATCAATAGAGTGGATCGACGATCCCTTACCCACGAAGATTGTTCCTTTGATGCCTGTGACAGATGAAACTTCTAGGCGCACTCGTTTGGATGCTGCCATGTGAAGAGACAGATTGGACGGTCAGGGATGGTGGGGCACATTGGTGGAATCATCAGTTAATTACTACGCTACATGTGTGCCGTGTGCTGCCCGAGCGTGGCCGTCAGCAGACAAATCTACAAAGAAATAGAAAATGACAGGGTCCCATGATTTAGAAAAGAGGAGGGGGCCCAAATGTTGTCGTATTTCTTCTTGTCCATCTCGCGCGCACGCCGGCCTGTTGCAATTGTGGTATCCTCGCGAGTCGTCATCATGCCAAACAATCCGTGCCATCCATAACGTCATATCCCGTTGAGCCTTATAGCTCCTGCTTGTCCTGCTCGCCATGCTGCTCCTCCTGGCGCTGCTGCCCGGCGGTATCGTCGGCAGAGCCAGTCTCGGCTTCGGTGTCGACCTCGGGCTCGGACGCTAGGCTAGACGCATCGACCTCTTCGGGTACGAGTCGCGGTTCTGCATCGTCCTCGCCGTCGACGACAGACGCCGCTGGCGCGTCGCCGGACGAGCCGCTTCCTGAAGCGTCGTTGTGCTCGAGTTGGACCTGCTCTTCCTCTGGTGCAGGCTGCGCAGCTTCGGTGGGCACCGTCGAGGGAGACGGTGCTTCCTCTGTGACAAAGGCCTTGACGGTCTCGGTCTCTGTGACCGTCTCGACGACACGGACGACTTCGCGGGAGGTGACAGTTTCGTCGACCGGAGCGCCAGCCTCAGGCCTGACGTCGGCGGCGGTGGCTGCGCTGGGCGTCTGGCAGGGATCCTGTGCCGTGTTCGGCTCGATCACGGCGGATGAGGATGTGTCGGCTGGTTCCACGACAGGTTGAACAGCAGGTTCCACGACTGGCTGGATTGCCGGTGCTGCGGCCACTGTCTTGATCTCGACGACCTCGGGCATGCCAGCATCGTTGTGAGGTATTTTGCTCTCCCAATCGTACATGCGCATGTCATCGCGGACAGGCGGCTTGACAGCCAAGAAGAGGACGAGCAAGGTCAAGAGCACGAGAGCCACATTCTTCCGATCCTGCAGCATCACGCGTGCGGCCTCGAGAAGGAGCTCGGGGAGAGAAGCGTTCTGAAGGGGCGGTGGAGCGGCCTCACGCCTTGCTTCACGTCGGGCACGGGCTTCTTCTGACGGCGAGACGGGGGTAGGGCCCGGGATATAGCTGTCCGGAGTCGGTTCGGTTGACCCTGTGTGAGACATGGTTGGCTGAGGGGTGTCGCCGTAGATTTCCCGCATACGGGCTTCGTCGCGGAAACGACGCTCTTCGAGTTGGTCGTGACGGGAGACGGTATCCGAGGAGAGCGGTGTTGGCTCAGCAGGGCTGATGGCCGGGAGGGGTGATGCCATGGCCAGAGCTGGCAGGGCAGCATGCTCAGTGTAGCCACTCTCCATCATGGAGCTCTCGATGAGGGCAGCCTCGGCGGCCTCGGCTTCAGCGGCCTCGTCAGCCTCGCGCTCGGCGGCTTCGGCAGCCTCTCGTTGCTCGATGGCAAGTCTTTCCAGCTCGTCCAGCACGCTACCCTCGATGATGGGCTCTATCTCAACGTCGACACGCTCCATCTCCTTCCAGCAGGCGTCCCAGGCACCCGCCTTCATGAGACCGTTGCTGGCGTACACCTTGACGCGGAAGATCTTGCCGGGGCCCAGGGGCTCAAACTTGATCTCGTGATGGCAGGTGGTGCACCAGTGCGTCTGCCCGTGCAGGCTCTTCCTCGGGAGTGAACTGCTCTGGCGAGAGCGGAGCTCCGGCTCGTCCTCCTCCTCGCTGTCGAGATCTTCGGTGAGGGTTGCCTCGTTGGAAGGCCCGAGATAATGTCCGCACTCGAGGATTCGGGCACGGCGGCGAAGGGGCAAGTCGAGGGCGTCCAGCAGACGCTCCTCGAGGACTTCAAAGTCGTTCTGAGGGTGGGGTAGAAGGACGCCGCGGTCGCAGACGGTGTCGTCGAGGCGGTCGTGCAGGCGGCGCCAGTAGTCACGCAAGGTTTTGGCCTCGGGAGAGAGAACGTCCGACGGTGCTGCCTCGAGGACATCGGCCCAGGGCCAACGTAGCGGCAACAGTGTGGCGTGCAGGAGCACGAGCGGGGGCGTCGTCTTGCGGGGGCTTCAGGCGGGAAGGCGTGGTGCGGCCCTTGGGTGAATACTGGGCCGACATGGAGGGGCTGCCGAGGCGGGGAGATGGTGGGCATGTGTGGGCGTTTCGAGGATCGAGGGGAGCCACCAAAGACCGAGGGAGCAGGCGAGGACATTTGGAGGGCGCGGACGTCTGAGGTGGAGTGGAAAGCTGGGCGTGGGGTGCTTCGAAGTGTAGGTTGGAATTCTCGTGGGTCGTAATGGGAGAAGTCCGAGATACGGGAGTGCTCGGTGCGCGTCTCGTCTTCGTCGTCGACGTGTTGGCTCCTCTTGAGGAGCTTCATGCCATTGTGCAGAGATCCTTCGAAGGAGCCGAGCGAGCTCCGGGCGCTGCGGTCGCTGAACACTTCCGAGTCGGCCTCGTGGTGTGAAGAGCTGTCGCCAGCGCGGTCGTCGTGCGAATCACTGTCGTGGCGGCTGGCCTGTGATTCCGAGACGAAGGATCCGCGCGAGTTGCGAAAGTCGCGCGAGTTGCGAGAGTCTCGGCGGTCGCCGTCCGTCTCGGTGACGTAGCTGACCTCGGTCCCCTCCACCGTGTCATTGTCATTGACGTGGGAGCTCAGCACAGAGTGTTCCTCCTCCGTCTCGCCATGGCGGTTGCGCTCGATCTGATGGACGACTGCTTGGGCGGCAGCGTGGATGAGGGCGTCGGTTCGACCCGAGACGCGGCGGTCGTCGTGGTCTGCGAAGTCTGCCGTGTCGATGGACGGGTCGTGGGCTGACATGTCGAGGCTGTCGTCCTGTGACTGATGGGGCAAACTGGCTACGAGACCAGCCTTCTCGTACTGATGGCTCGTACCATCGGTTGCTGGCGTTGCGGGTTCGGCCCTGTAGCTGTCGTCCTGGGAGGCTGGTGTGTGATCTTCCATGGGCGTGCTCAGGCAGGATGGGTCGACATGAATGTCAAAGTCAAAATCGCTAAAGCCAGCTCGAGGCATTGAGCCGTTGGAGTAGGTGGTGGAGGGGCGGACAGGGTGGTGTTTGTTGTCCGGGCGGTTGTCTGCAGCAACAGCAACGGCAGCGGCAACGGCAACAGCAAAGGCAAAAAGCAACGAGTCAGAGAGCTGGTCTCGAGGGGTTGTAGATCCAAGTCGGTGTATCTGTACAGCGAACGAGCTGTGTCGGACGGCGACGGCGGGATGAGGGAACGTCTGACGGCAATGCTGAGGAGTGTGTGCCGCAAGGGCAAGGTCTGATGTCTTGTCGAGAGCGGTGAGGTACAGGTACGCGTGCAGGTACCAGCAGCGCAGGTGGTTGGGCAGAGGTGCAGGTGCAGGTGCAGGTGCAGGTGCAGGCGGGCAGGCGGGCAGGCGCATCCCGCCGCTGTGTTTACTCTGGTTGCCCCGCCAATCGACCCAGTCCCCGCCTATCATCATCTGCCAGCGCATGGCGCCATCATCAACGGCCAAATTGGGGTTCTCTGAAAAGACCGCTTCTTGAACTCTGATTTCTCCGTGAACATGACGCCGATGGACGTCGTCGGAACAGACTATGTCTTGATACCACTAGGATCGCGATTTGCATGCCAACACATACTCGAAGTGAGCGTCTGTCTGCTGTGGATCGGGGCCGACGAATGTGGGCCCCGATCCTTTATCTTATCGCTCTCATTCACATGCATGAGGCCCTGCCTATGTAGAATGTAGGTAGGTAGGTACTTACCTTACCTTAGGTACCTTATTAGGTAAGGTACCTTGGGCCAGTACCTAGATACCGGTGTATCGATGCTCAACGCCATACCTTGGAGCATCCGAGCAGCCCCGGAGTTACAAGAGACACTGCGACCTACCAAATCCCCGAAGCCGAGACGACGTCAGACGGTTTTGGCGTGCCTCTGGGGCCTCTGGGGCCTCTGGGGCCTCTGGGGCCTCTGGGGCCTCTATTCCTCTCCCGTACATACGATGAAGCCTGAGGATTCGCATCCTAGCGCTGGACACGATGGCTCAAGAGACTAGCATGGCGGCCACCGCTGCAGCTCGGAACAGAAAGCAAAATACTCATCGCAACTAGCATGTCTCATGAGAAGTGTAGAATATAAAATAACAGAGAAAAATATGTCGAGCATGGTATTTCATTCGACAAGACACCCCAGGACACAGCTGAACATTCTATCCTTCGTTCGAAGCATCACTCCCCGGCATGGCAGCTGCTCTGAACCTCTCGAAGCCCGACCGCACCATCCATCTCGGCGTCATTCTGCTCAACAGGCAAGTCGAAACTCTCCGTTCCCAATGGCTTTCGAGAAGTCGTTGCCCTCTGACGACAAGCCAGCGAGACCGAGATCCTTGATGTTGCTCCCATCGACCTCATCCACGGCGTGAGCAAGCACTTCACCGACCCCATGCCGGACGCCTTCCTGCCTCCCGAGCTCAAAGCCCAGGCCCTCGACATGGAGTTCCACTGGGTCTCCGAGACGAACCGTCCCTGTCGCCTGACCAGTAGCATATCGATGAACCCAACCGTGCGTGTCTCGCAATAACCTGGCCCCTCCAATGTGCCCCCCGCCCGCTGACGCAGTAGCAGGACACCTTCGACACGTGTCCGCCCCTCGACATTGTCCTGATGGGTGCCCATCATCCCAGCTACACGCCCAGCGCCGTGGAGCTCGCGTACATCCGGAAAGCCTACGACGCCAGCGCCGCCTTCCTCACCATCTGCGGCGGCCTCATGGCCCCTCTCCAGGCGGGCATCCTCGACGGCAAGACGGTCACGGCGCCGCGCTTCATGCTCGGGCAACTGCGCGAAACGAACCCGGGCTCGACGTGGCTCGAGAAGCGCTGGGTTCGGGACGGGAAGCTGTGGACGAGCGGCGCCCTGCTGAACGGCGCCGACATGGTGTCTGCGTTTGTGCGCGAGCAGTGGGGCCGTCAGGAGGGGAGCCTTGCGGGGGTGATGGCAGATATTGGGGCTTGGCCGAACCGTGATGTTGATTATAGAGATGCGTAGAGAGTGGCGGGGCGATGGCTTTCGGTTAAGCTCTCTCGCGGTGCCGGGCTACGACGGAGGAACGACTGGTCCTTGCCTGAGGTCTTGAAACGATGTTCAGCAGCGGTACCGATTGGGTTGTGCCTTCACACGTGTTCCATAAGGCATTTGCATCTAACTAAATGCTCAATACGAGGAGTGATCTTTCTCGACTAATTTCAAGGTCAGAGAAAATGGCCGCTTGGTGTATGTCTGCCCTCACCTGGAGTCAATCTATCCGAGCTGTCCTCTACTAGCCTGTATCGACAATACATACCCGTAATACACGTCAGACAACTGAGAATTATGAAATGGCACCCAATGACCCGCATCAAAGTCCCCTACAGTCCCACGCTAGAGCTTCTTGCCCATAGTATCAAGGCGAACGCTACACATACTGGCCCGTACCATCTCGATTTTCTGCGATAAGAGCGACAAGAACGACAAGATACAAAGTCCGCGGCCGAGGCTCACGGGGCCTCTAAACTAGAGCCTAGGCCTCTCAAGAGGCGAGCCAGATACTCTTGGGGACTAGGCTGTCAGGTTGAGCAATCAACCGGGAAAGGGGCGTCTGAAGACCTTGGACAAGAGGCTTCAGAAGACCCTGGACAAGACGCTTTAGCATCCTCATACGAGTGCCCCGATTTGATGTACCTCATGGCTCCTAGTTGCGTAGGGTGTGAGAGGTCTAATGGGCATGGACAACAGCTTTAGAGAGGACACCTGCGGCGCCGAGCAATGCATTTGATCGAGCATCTTAGCCTGCTTTTGCGGACTCACTGTTCGGTGGTTACTCTCCTCCTTCACTTGAACCCAGGCAAGCCGCCAAGAATAGATCTCATGGTACGAGTCGCAGCATTAGATGCTGAGAGGAACACTAATTTTCTGCTCAGCGTTACACACCTCATCGAAGGAATGCTCATACTTCCAACGCATGCACTCTACATCAGGCAATAGATCGAGTTCATAATTGCGGTTTGAGGCCCAGAGCGAATTTGGCGAGACAATCCAACTCATAGCAAAAAAACCATGTTTGACGATCTTCATGATAGTGTAATATTTTAAACTCTAGTACACGAAGCAAGGCATCTGATATACTGTGCATACACATCTTTACCTTGCCAGCTTAAAGCTACAAAAACAACAAATCAAGGGCCAGCTTTTAATTGATCTTTCCATCATGTCAAAGTGGGATAAAAAATGATCTTCTAACCTTCTACCTGGTTGACAGTGTTGCTATTTCAAATACACCTTGGCAACATTATGATTTTAAAGCATTTGACATAGTAAAAGTGCGCTAAGCATAAGAGTGATGTGCAAGATCGCAATCGTCCACTTCCCCAATCATCACAGGGCAATGCTAAGCAGCAATAGCTTCAGCCTCAACTCCACACCACACCGTCATTCTTTATACAATACAAAAAACGCCAGATTCAGGTCACAATCACAGAAACCAAAGCCCTCACCACACACCACGCACCACACACCACATCAGACATGGCGCAACAACGAAAACTGTACATCCAAATGTCAGGGGCCCCGGGCTCCGGCAAGAGCACGCTCGCCCGGCTGCTCGCCAAGTCGACCGACGCCGTCGTCTTCGACCACGACGTCATCCGCTCGACGATTCTCGCGCACGGGACCGCGTTCGACAGCGCCGCCCAGCTCGCCTACGGCATCGGCTGGGCGCTCGCCGAAGACGCCATGCGGCAGGCGCGCAGCGTCGTCATGGACAGCACGTGCAACTACGCGGAGACGCTGGGCCGGGGCCGCGCGCTCGCCGAACAGCACGGGTACGAGTATTGGTATGTCGAGTGCCGGGTCGACGACCTTGCCGTGCTGGACCGGCGCTTGCGCGCGAGGGTGCCGCTGAGGAGCCAGAGGACGGGCATCGACGTCGCGCCTCGCGATGCTGGGGCTATCAAAAACGGGGCCGAAGCCGAGGCGCGCTTCAGGGAGCGCATGGAGAACCCGTGCCGGCCGGACAGCAATGTCATTATCGTTCAGTCTATCGGAGACCTCGAGGACCGGCGGGACGATGTTTTGAAGTGTTTGAATGGACGTTGAACCCGGGGTGCGAAGGGGGGTTCATGGAGACATAGCTCAGACCGGAGATGCGACCGACCAGTCAGGTTGTTCGTACTCAAGTTGGAAACGTAGCAGTATTTTTATCGTTGTCGTCCGTATCATTGCCGTCAGTATTGTTAACCTTGTGTTTCTGTAAGTATAAAAAAGACGCTTGACACTCGTATCAGACACAGCTGCCAGCTCAGCTACACTTGCGCAGCAATCAGCCAGCGACCGCTGGGACAATTTGGAGCGCAAGCCGTCTCCGCGATTGATCGTCTTTGCCCCGACCACGAGACTCAGACAATGTCTCGGGTGGCCTGCAGATGATATAGCACGTGGAGTCTGCCCCTCAGAAGACGCCGATCCGGCTCGCAGCCGTCGCAGCTGAACACAGGTACATGCTGCGACATGGCGAGCGATCAATTGACAGCAGGTAGCACCACCGGGCACGCGGATGGGCAAAGAAACTGGTGATCCCCCAAGGAGTCTCATGCCGCACTACTCGCGAGCGCAACTCGGACGAGCGACCACACCTACAGCAGAGCACTTGGTGACGGTATCCGGGCAGCAGGACGAGGTTGCGCAGCATGATGCACCGAGTTCCCGAGCAACCCTTCTGCGCAAAGAGGCCATCTCCGCAAAGTCGGGAGGGGGAGCGAGAGCTGCATGAACACCTCGAGATCGGCAGCGTGGAACCCCCCCCCCCTCCCCGCCATCAATACCAATTCCCCCCAACAAGGAGGGGGAGACGCATGGCCATCTCGCAAGCGACGCTCGATTGATTGAATCGGCGCTTCAAATTGCGCACCATGCCGTCGATTGGGACTATCCTGTGCCTGGCTGTCGGGCTATCGCCATGCAGAGACCGACGGGACAAGAGAGAAAGAACAAATCAAAAGTCGACGCAAACCAGATCCCTCCCCCCGCAAACTCGCTAATGCTGCGAAGGCACGGAAGGAGATCCTTTTTGGAAAGGATCGCGTTGCTTGGGATGGGATGGGGGCCTCCGCAGTCTTCACACGCCCACGGCTCACGAGTTACCATTTATGACCTGCGCAGAGGTAGGCCCGGCCGTCGGTAAGTGTGTCCCGGGGAAGGGGGAGCCAATTCTGGGTAAATTGGAGTTGCACCCAGCCAGCACTGCCCACATGTGTGGTCCAGGGGAGAGAGGGTGGGGGGGGGGGGGCGACGGGAACAAGCCTTGTTGATTGACACGGGAGAAGGGGGGAGAGATGGGACGTGTGAGTGTCTTGTCCCCTGAAGCAGAACCACGCGAGAGGGGGGACGCAGAACAGAACGACGGGCGCGGCTGTGGGTTCGGATGAAATGGCCAATGCTTCCGGAGGGGGTTGCATTGCCTACAGGCGCGGATATGCGGGCGGCTGGGGATGGTCGAGTGATCCAAGTCAGGACAATAGGTCGTGCCGCTCATCGCCTTGACGGGGATCGGGAGAGGAAGACAGGGGTTGGGAACAAAGACGATCTGAGAAAGGGCTGATGGTCAGACGTAAAAGACAAAGGGAACATTGGTCGCTCACGTCGCAAACTGAGGCTGATACGATCATGCCCCTTGTGCCGAACAGACGGAGAGGCCGCGAGGCGTTACGCTGGCGGGTCGCTTCCATGTTGCACAACATGGCCGACGTTGCAGCGGCGATACGAGCTTCTCAGGCTCCAGGAGCTAGCTTTTTTGGCACGGTAGATGACTCGCCAGTGGTAACACATGTACATGTAGGGCGAGACTGGTCGACTCCGGCCAACTCGGAGGAACCCCCGGCCAGCGCCGAACCGCCCGCGCCAACTGAGCGAAGTGAGATTGGATTGAGATGGCATGTTCCGATTGCAACTCTTCTCACACACACTAAGCTTGCTCGCTTCGTCTTCTTCTTGTCTCGATTGCGTGGCCCCCTTTTTGTGTATCAACCAACATCTGAGACTTTCTTGAACACTTTCACAGCTTTCGTCATCGTCATGTCATGAGCATAACACTGTGAGTGACCGCCTCAGCAGAACTCGTTCCAGCAAGCCATGCAAATGCGAAACAATATGTAAAAGAAGGCAACAGGTGGGTGAATTAGTTTTTGTATAATCATTACACCGAATGTGATATCAATAGCGAACGCGGATCCGCCGAGTCCGGCCTGTGAAGCCTTTCGTCGCGCGGAGATGCCAACGTTCGCTAATTCAGGTCATAACTGTTTTTCTTTGCAATCGTAACAATTCTCGAACCACACCCGTTGCCCCCCCGTGTGATCCATCCCCGCCGCAACATCCCACGACAACCCTCCGAGCCAAAGAACCCCCTTTCCGAGGTTTCATATGAACAACGGCCGGAGAGGCGTGGGCTGCAAGGGAGACTTCTCACCCGCTCCGCTCCATCTCGAACACTAGACCGACGGGCGAGCCGTTTACAGGTCCTGCGGCGGTTGTTAGCTTTGCTGGGTCGACATCAAGGGGGAGTCACGATGACGGGATGATGCTCACCTCGCAGTAGTCGACGGTGGTGGTGACGGTGACGGTAGGGGTAGGGGCGGTGGAGACGGCGGCGGTGATACCCCAGCAGTCGCAAGCAGAGGCGTACTTGACGGCGTCGCAAGACGAGGCGTAGGCAGGGACGTTGGTGGGGACGGAGGTGGCCTGGCGGGCCTCAACGACGTTGCGCTTGAGCTTGGCGGCGGGCTCCTCGGTGACGGTGACGGTGACGGTGCTGCGATGTGTGTTAGTGCTCTGTTCGGTTCCTCGAAAGTCTGTCTGCTGCTGAGAGAAAAACGTGATCTAGGGGCTCCCGATGTCCTGTGAAGCCACGTCTGGGCGGTTCCCTATCCCTCTCATGCGACCTTCCCTCTTGATATCCTCCTCTTGCTGGCTCCCGCAGAATTTCGACCGGTGCATCTTCGAGAGAGTAGAAGGAAAAGGCAACTCATAAACATACGTGGGCGAGGGGGTGACGACGGTCAGCTGGAAGCTGGAGCAGTCGGCCTGGCGCGCGGTGAGGGGCAGGAGGCCGGCGCGGGTACCGGTGACCTGACGGTTGCAGTTGTTGCCAGCGCAGGCACGCTGCTCGAGGACCGAGCCGAAGGCAAGGCTAGCGAGGGAGAGGATGACGGCGGCCTTCATTTTGACGGTTGGGTGAAAGTGATGCTGACACGGGGCAGGTCGATCGACTGAGGTCCTAAGGAGGTTGGCTTGAAGATTGATCTGGTAGGAAGTCGGTGATGGAGGGAAGAGAAGGAAAAAGGTGGTGTGGGAGCGGGTTGCGAGCTGCCCATATATAATCCTAATCAACCGGTGCCGTGACAGGGGTGGTCATGGAGAGAGAGCGAGGACCATGGATGGAGGAGACGAGCAGGAGGAGCAGCACACACCCAGGACGAGGCGCACCACCACCTTCCCTCGTGGACCCGTTGGGTGGGCGAGAGACGGCGGCCGGCGGGTCGACGGGTGAACTGGAGGAAGCGGAGAGAGACTGACTGTACACTACGGTAGTAGCGAGCGAGCAAGCAGTCATGAGCAGCCCGAACAGCGATGAGCCCAGCCCATCATCAACCCATGCATGGACATGGGGTTGAAGTCCAGGGGGGGGGGGGGAGTAAGTGGTGGTGGGAAGGGTGGAGGGGAGTCCACCGGACGCGCACTGAGTAGCATCCTGGGCGGGAGCGTACTCTCCACAACGGTACGAAT